CGCCGCCAGGTGGCGCTGCCGCCGCCGGACCGCGCGCGGAGCGGGGCGGAGCGGGGCGTGCGCGCGCCGCACAGCGACCCCTGGCGGGCCGACGGCATCAGCGCCCCGCCCCGTCGGGGCCCCCCCACGGCACCGCCCGCACCGGGAACCGCGGGGACCGGGGGGACTGCGGGGACCGGGGGCGACCGGGGGAACCGAGGCACTGGGGAACTGACGGGGCTGGGGGCGTTGGCGGCACTGCGGGACTGGCGGCACTCGGGATTGCCCGAGGAGCTGGGCTGGCAGCGCGGAGCCAGCCGGCACCGGGGGGACCGAGGGGTAACGGGGAAGGCGCCGGGGCGCGGTGCAAGGTGACGGGAGGGGCCGGTTTGACTGGGGGGCAAGGGGAGGAGAGTGCGGGGGGCTCGGTGCGACATGGCGGGGCAGGGGAGGGACCAGGGGGTCACTGTGGAGGCCCCGGGCGGCTTTTCCGGCCCCGCCCGTCGGGTCCCCGCCGCCCATCCCTGCGGGCTCGGAAATGGCGGCCGGAGGCGGCGGCGCCGCGGAAATGGAGAGACCCCTCCACTCCCACCGCTCGGCCTCCCCGCCGGACCCGACCGCAGCACCGCACCCCATCCCATCGCACCCCATCCCATCGCACCCCATCCCATCGCACCCATCCCATCCCATCCCATCCCATCCCGTCCCATCCCGTCCCGTCCCGTCCCGTCCCGTCCCGTCCCGTCTAATGTTATCCATTCCCATTCTCTCCCACCCCATCCCAGTCCATCCTGTCCTTCCCGGTCTTGTCCTGCCCCATTCTGTCTATCCCACCACGCCCTGTCCCATCCATGTCCTCCTGTCCCACCCATCCACGCTGTCTCTTCGTGCCCCGGCCCATCCCACTCCATACACCCTGTCTGATCCCACCCTGTCCCATCCCATTCCATCCATGCTGTGTGTCCACTCCTGTCCCAGCCAGTCCCAGCCCGTCCATCCCACATCTTGTCCCATCCCATCTCATTCCATCCACATCTCATCCAGTTCCATCCCATCTCATTCCATTCATCCTGTGCCACTGGATCCTTTCTTATCCCATCTCCCAGTCCCATCCCTGCCTGCTCTGGCACAGCCCTGGCACACCTTGGGGGGGAAGCTGGTGACACTGAGCACAGGGAAGGGCAGGAAACCCTTTGGTTTGTGGGAAGAGGGAGAGGACAAGTGGGATGGGTCACCTGGGCTTGGGAGAGGACAGGGGTGTGCCAGCAGGTGGGGACCCCCAATTAAAGACCCCCTGTCCAGGCCCCTCCTGGGCTGTCCCAGGGATTCACTGGGGTCACTCAGAGTGTGGGGGATTCACTCAGAGCATGGGGGGGATTCACTGGGGTCACTCAGAGTGTGGGGGATTCACTGGGGTCACTCAATGCCCCCGGGCACCCAGGGGGTTGGGTGGCTGAGGGACTATGGCACTCCCTGGTCTCTGTGGACCCCAAGTGCCACATGCCCATGGTGGCTGTGACCTAAGGGCTGCCCTCTCCCCTCCCACACCAAGTCCTGAGCTGGATCAACCCCTGGGCCTCGCTGGAGCTCAGGGGGTGTCTGGTGGGGAGAGGGAATTGTCTCTGTGTCCTGGGCTCTGGCAGGGAAGAGCCTGGGGAATGCTGGGCTGAGAGGGAGCCTGGAAGGAAAAAACACTCAGTGTGTGGCACCAGCTGGGCACCCTATGAGGCCCCTTCCAACCCATCCTTTGATTCCATGATCCCAGCTCCAAGGTGGCCACAGCCACCAGCGCTTCTCCCTGTCCCTCATCCTGGGCGTGGGATGTCCCAGCTCCATCCCACCATGGATCCAAGGATTCCTCAGCTGTCCACAGCCCATTTGAGCGTGGCACGGGCTGGCTCCTGGAGCACAAAGCCAGATCAAGTTAAAACCACCCATCCCAGATGCAGCATCCCAGAGCAGCCTTCTTTGCCAGGCCTGGCTCTCCAGCTCAGCTTGGCTTGTGCTGTTCATCTGCTCCACAATTAACTGGAAAAGCTCCAGCCAGGAGCAGGATGAGGGAGCTCCACAATGACCTGGAAAAACTCCAGCCAGGAGCAGGATGAGGGAGCTGCAGGTACCCGCGAAGGGCTGACACGGAATTCAGAATGGAAACACTGTATTGACAGACTTTACAAAAGTTATTACAAAACACGGTCACGAACCAGCAGCTGACGATACAGAGCGAAGAGACACCACGTACAGCCACCTCAGAACAACACCAACAGCTCCAGAAGTCATCCAATATTTACACAAACAGCTGGAAAACTCCGGGCGGTTATCGCATACATGGAAGTGTTTTAGAGCAACTGTGAAATATAGTGTCACACCTTTCCTTGTAGTATTATCATCATCATAATTAATAATAATAATAATAATTAATAATAATAAGACTACTTCTAGGTTAACTAAAAACCAAACAGCTCTTTACAGGGGTTAGGAGAAGCTGCTTTCACTCGTCTGACTTACCTGAGTGAGACCAAACCCAGTTAAAAAATAATAATAAAATCACCTTCATTGTCAGGAGTCCGCGTGTCGGCCCAGCGGCGCCGTTCCCTCGGGCCAGAGGGGAACCACAGCCCGCCTGGTGCCAGTGACACCCTTCAAAAGCACGGAGACGTGTCCTCCTCGTGTGAGTGACCCCAGCACGCCTCCCAGCGCTGCCCTTCCCGGCTCCTCCTGCTCCAATGTCCTCAGCCCCTTCTCCTGCACCTGCTTTATCTCACCCCGCTCTTTGCCACGCTCTCCTCTCCGCTTTTCCGCCTTCCACAAATCCCGCTTCGTGCCCTGACCTCCTCTCTGCCTGGCTTCTCTTGCCTTCATCCCAGTCGTGGCCTCGCAGCCTTTCGGGACACGGACGATGCAGCGGGAGCGGCACCTTCCTTCCTTCCTTCCCTCCCTCCCTCCTCGCGCTTCCAGCCTTGCAGTGAAACGAGTGGAAAAAAGAAAGCGAAAGCTTGTCACTCCTGAATATGCACAAAGATAGGTGGGGGAACACCTGCTAAATACGGAGCCCAGAGAATCGCTCGGGGTTATTCTCTACGGGCAGAATCCAACCCCGCGTAGGGAACAGCGAGCGCGGGGCCTGCGCCGCGGTGGAAGCGCCACGGAACCCCGCGGGGTCCCAGAGCCGCCTGGGCCGGCCGAGCAGAGTCTTTAAGAGGAATTCCTTGGATGCTTCACCAAAGCGGGCTTCGTAGCATGACCACATGGATTAGCTGCGATACAAGTCACCTGCCATCATGCTGCACGTCCACCTGCCAGACCGTCGCGGTCACCGCGAGCCCTCCTGCCCCGGCCCCACCACGGCTACTGCTTAGTCTCTTTTTTCACGCAGAAATGGTCGGTTTGGGTGCCCGCCGAGCCCAGGTTGTGCTGGGAATCCTCCCTGGGCCGCGGGTTGCGGGAGTGGATTTTCTGGTGGCAATTCAGGGACTCTTTGTAGCGGAAGTGCTTCCCGCAGACGGGGCACTGGTAGGGGGTCTCCCCGGTGTGCACCCGCCAGTGCTTGAGCAGGTGGTCCCGCCGGATGAAGCTCTTGCCGCACTCGGTGCACTGGTAGGGCCTCTCCCCGGTGTGGATGCGCTGGTGGCGGATGGCCTTGGAGAGGTCTCGGAAGTCCTTCCCGCAGTAGGTGCACGTCAGCGGCCCGTCGCCCTTCCCCGTGTGCAGCTTCTGGTGCAGGATCAGACTCACTTCCAGGCTGAAGCTCTCCTTGCACTGGGAGCAGGTGTAGGGCCTCTCCACCATGTTGTTCACCTGGTGCCTGACGAAGCCGTACTTGAATCCCGAGCTCTTCTCTCCGTCGGGGCGCTTGGACGCTTTGGAGCGGGAGGGGCCCTGGCCCTTGGCTTTGGATTTCTGCCGGAAGCTCTCGCCGCGCTCCAGGGACGTGCAGGCCTCCTCGCTGGCGTGAGCCTTCTGGTGGGTGGCGAAGAGCTGCTTGTCCAGGAAGCTCTCTCCGCACTCGCAGCAGATGTAGGGCCCCTTGTCGGCCGCCGCCTCCTCGGGATCCTTCTTGGCCAAGTCTCTCCCGCGGCGCACCGAGCGCCTCAGCCCGTTGCCCGTCGCCGTTCGCTGCGGCGGGGCCGACCCGCTCTGGCTCTTGCTGCTCGATTGCATCTCCTCCTCCGGGTTGGAGAAAACCTCTTCCCACTTTCCTGTCAACGACCTGGAAAGCTCCAGGCTCTCGGAGCCTTCCTCCTCGCACGGCTGTTCGTCTGGTGGAGCAGAGACACTGGTGTCATTTGGGGTCACAAGGACTGGGCTGTCACTTACTCGGTTCCCTCGGGACACGGGTGGTCTCTGCTGTGCACACCCAGCTCAGAGCCTGGCACTGACAGGGCGGTGAGTCCGGCTGGGAGCACCTACTCTGTCCGGAGGGATTTGACTTGGAATCTTGGAATTGTTGAGGTTGAAAAAGGCCTCAGAAATCTTAAAGTCCAGCACTGCCAAGGCCACCCCTGACCATGTCCCCAAGCGCCACATCCACATGGATGTTACGTCCCTCCAGCAATGGAGAATCCACCACTGCTCTGGGTGGTCCCAATGTGCAACAGGCTCTTTTAGGGAAGAATTTTCCCAATATCCAACCTGACCCTCCCCTGGCCCAGCCTGAGGCCCTTTCCTCTTCTCCTGTCCCTGTTCCCTGGGAGTAGAGCTCGACCCTGCCGGCTGTCTCTTCCTATCAGGGAGTTGTGCAGAGCCACAAGGTCCCCCTTGAGCCTCCTTTCCTCCAGGCTGAGCCCCTTTCCCAGCTGATCCTGGTGTTCCAGACCCTCCCCCAACGCCATTTCCTTCTCTGGACACACTCCAGCTACTTTCTGCCTTCAATTATATTGTAATGTAATATTATATATATAATCTAGCTATAGATAGGTAGCCAGAGGAAAAAAGAGGGTTCCTGAAGCAGGACAGACCTTTAAGAACTTGTGCTTTAGGATAAAGCCCAAAAAACAGAAGAAAAAGGAATAAAACTTTTTTTCCTTCATAGGCTTGGACAGTGCCTGAGGGTGAAGGATCTCCCATGGTATAAACTGTGACTCAAAGCAACTTTCTGAAATTCTGGAAAAGCATCATCCAGAAAAGCTGAGCTGCTCCTGGGAATGAGGCTGGGAAGTCAAAAGCACATCTAGGCAAGGGACACTTTCCAAAGCAGCTCAGTGCACTCACATGTACCAGGGACCTCCATGCTCTCCTCTTCCTCAGAGCCTTCGTGGCTTTCAGCCAGAGTCTCTTCATATTTACCCCACGAGCTGTCATCAGGCCCAGGGAAAAAAAACTCTGTGCAAGAGAAAAGAGCAGGAGTTACACTCCAACCTTCCAGCTGCTTTAGAGGATTCCAGAAAGAGGGATGCATCAGGTGGGAGACAAGCAGGAAAGCAAAGCCCCCCTGCACCTGAGGAGAGAGCTGACAAAACAGAACAGCCCCACAACTGCCTCCACCTCCCCCCTGAGTCCCAGGAACCTCGTGGCTCACCAGTGCTGGGGTCTGTGGGGGTCTCTCCTCCCTCGGAGTCCTCCTGATCCTCAGCGTTGGGATCCTCTCCCTGCTCAATCCGTGTCAGCAGATCAGGCTTGGAAATGGCAGCGTCTGCACACAAAAAGAGGGTGAGGATGTTTCCCCTGCCCTAGCAGGAGAGCGACTCTGCAGCCTTTGCCCACCAACCTTCCTTCGCTGGGAAATGAACGAGAGAGGCTTAGGAAGCTGCTCTCAGCCCTCTGCCCCGCTCACCTTGCGTGGGCCCTGGATGCAGGAGCACACTCTGCTCAGGTGAGGAGCACCTCCCAGCCTGCAGCGTGAGGAGGACAGTAAGAAAAGGCATCCAGGCTTACCTGCAGGCTCTCCTGTCTTCTCCTCTGCGCTAAGGTCCGCGGATCCATTACAATGGGGACTTCAGCTCGGGGGCAGCAGCAGAGCTGCCAGCACTGCCCTCCCCGTGCGGTTCCCTCCAGCCAGGACCGCTCCGTCCTACTCGTCCGAGTCACGGGCTGCTCGCGGATTTTGGTGGGGGAAAGGGGACAATCACCATCTCTCCTCGGGCGGAGAGCAGAAAACTTCACTTCCAGACATGTGGGAGGCCCTGGGGGTTAAACTCCACCTCTGCTCCGGTGGATCCGTTTGCCTTACACAGGAGCCAAAGCCCTAAACCTCATTTCTCAAGGGAAACCTTGGGATGAAGCACAGATACGTTTCTCTAAGCTCCAGGCTCAGATCCCCAGATCCCCTGCAGCTGCATTCCTGCGCCTCAGGAGCAGGACACGGGACTGGTTTAGAAACAGGAGGGTGGGGGCTGTGGTTACCCTTCACCTTTCTCCCTGGCACACAGGGAATGCAGGAAACTTCTGTTCAAAGAAATAAATGGGGGGAAAAAACCAGGAAAGGCCTGGATTGGGCAGAGCTGGATGGCAGGGAGGCAGATGAGGCTGGACTCGGCACAGGGAAGTGTCTGGCTACCAGGGACGGCGTCTGCGCTCCCACCCCCGGTCCAGCCAAGGCAAGGTCATTTCTGGAACATGCTGTGAAGGCAACGCGTTCCCCAGAGGGAATTCCCGCGGCCAGGACTGGCAGGAGCGAGCGGAGCGCGTTCCTTTGGCTGGGAATGCACGGCCGTGAGCTGCTGAGGGGAAAGCAGGAGGCAGAGCTCAGCCTCAGCCACCGCTTCTCCACAGCTCTGCCCCAGCAGACCCCGCAGGGGTCGAGCAGGACTCGCTCCTTGGGGCTGGACAGAGCACCGGGCAAACATCACTTCTTCCTCATGGGAGAGGAAAGGGAAGTCTGCACAACTCCCCATGGAAAGGGCTGGAAGGAACCTCAGAGGCAGGGCACAGGGCACCCTCCGTTGCCCTAAGCAGCCAGCGGGCTGATGCACCCAGCGCAGTGGATCTGTGGACCTTGGCGTGACAAAGGAACTTCCCTCTTCCCCAGCTTTGCTTGGATTGAGGGTCCTCTCACTTCCCCTCCTCCTCCTCCTCACAATCCCAGCACTGGCCGGGCTGCAGGGACCATCAGGGAGCCACTGTCCCTGCAGTGACACTCATGACATCCTTCCACCCTCAGCGTGGCTGTGAGGGCTGAACTCACTGCCAGGGCTGTGTCACACCTCCCCAGAGCACACACCCCCTCCCTGACCCTGCAGGGCACAGCGCTGCTTCCATCCACCAGCTCCCAGGAAAACTCTGTGCCAGGAGGCTGAGGGCAAACCCAGGCCTGTCATTACCCATGGAGATGACGGCCTCGTAGTTGCCTTTCATGATGTGCCTGTAGAGCTCCTTCTGCCACTCGTTGAGGCTCTTCCACTCCTCCTCAGAGAAGTTGAACGAGGCGTCGTTGAAGGCCACGGGGACCTGCAAGGAGCAGCACCACGGGGTCGGTTTCTTATTTAACAAAACACCTGGGGACGTTTTCTCATTCAATTTTCTCACTCAAACTCCTCGAGCGTCGTGCAGGACGGTCCCAGACAGGAACATCTGCTCCTTCCCACGTGCCTCATGCCTCAAGGGACACGACAGGGATTTCCCGTCACCCGCCTGTCACCTCCCCCTGCTCAGCCTCCTCCTGTGACAGGCGATGCCTGGTGCACAGTGCCTGGCACAGACTCCTTTGCACCTCCTTTTTAACACAATTCTGCTGCTCACCATCTCTGAACAGCCCCTGGGGATGTTCCGAAGCCTCCCCAGTTACAAGGGGCTGAGCCACAAAATTCCATGTGATCCAAACACAGGAATTTGTGACATCCCTCCGAGATCACATGTGAATAGGGCATAATCCACACAGCAGGACCTGTGCTGGTGCTTCTGGGTGCTGAAGGAAAGACAGGGCTGTGGGGGAGCCATGAACAGCTCTCAGCAGCTGTCCCAAAATGGGACTGTGAGCACAGGGATCAGGCTGTCACTGCAGGATATGGGGCTGCCAGCGCAGGATATGGGGCTGTCAGTGCAGGGATCAGGCTGTGAGTGCACAGGATATGGGGTTGACAGTGCACAGGAGATGGGGCTGCACAGGATATGGGGCTGTGAGCTCAGGATATGGGGCTGTGAGCTCAGGATAAGGGGCTGTGAACACTGGGCATGGGGTTCTGAGCCCAGCATACGTGCAGAACAGCCCCGTTTTCCAGCAGGGAGCAGCAAACCGTTACCTTGGGGACTTCCCCTTTGGCCCCCGGGGGCAGCCGCAGGATCCAGAAGTTCCTGTTCTTCAGGAGGTTCTCCACGTTCTCCAGGCGCTTCTGCAGCTGCCCGTACTCCTGGATGAGGGTGCCCAGCGCCGCGCACTTGCTCTCCAGCTGGTTCCCGAACTCCACCGCCGTCTTCTCGCAGCCGATCAGCTTCGTCTCCGCCATCCTCATCCTGCCCTCCAGGTTCATCAGCTGCGCGGCCTGGGTGTCCACCTTCCTGTCCACGGCCTGGATCTCGGTGACCAGCGTCAGGGAGATCTCTGCGGCCGGCAGCTCGGCCTCGCCGCCGGGGCCCTGCTCGGGGGCGGGCAGCGGCTGCTCCAGGCCCAGCTCCTGGGGCTCCATCATGCACTCCAGCTCCTGAGGGGG